ATGAATTTGGGTAGAAAGCACACAAATTGCCGAAGAAGGATGAGTGGCAGGGTGCAATTCAAAAGACAGATAGACAGACCTGGATCTGGCATGCCGTCAGAAGTGCCTACAGCTTCTGCAGGAGCGCTCCGGTATTGCACTGAATTTAAAAAGTGGTAAAGAGCAGAAAGTGTGTTTGGACAAGAGCATCCAGAGCAAAGCTTTGGAAAGGATGGGAGTTGGAGGAGGGTCAGCGACTGCTACTTTCCTTCGTCCCATCACAACCTCCTCACGGGGAACCCACCAGCCCGGCCCTGAGTGAGTACAGGCATCTGAAATGGGTCCCCTTGGCCCTTGGTGCAGCTCTCCCTCGCCCCAGTCCTGCTTGGAGCTGCTTGTGCCGGGGTGGGAGGAGATGGGGGGAGCAGGGCCAGATCCTGTGGCCCCTGCGGTGACGGGGTGCGGCTCACGGAGCGACGGTTTCCCCACGATGCACGGCCACATCTGAGGAGGGGATTAATTCTTGTTTGCAATTTAAACAGCTCTGCTGTGCCAGGGCACTGCGTACACACAATAACAGAGCCTCCAGCCTCGCTCCAAATATTAGCCTAATGAAGAGCAGGTTTCAGGACAGGCTCGGAGGATAAGCGGGCTGCCCCTCTCCTCCCACCTCTCCTGTCACCTTCTGCCATCTTTGACCACTCTGTGGATACGATCGACACCCGGCGTGGTGCTGAGCTGCACGTTCAAGAGGTCCCTGCATACCACGATACTGCTCTGCCTCCCAAACTACCCCAAACTCCCCTGCCCAGCTGCCTTTGCCTCTGGGTCAGCATCTCCAAGAGGTTCCCTGGCGATGGACGTGGCCAAAGCACCACCTCAGCAGTGATGGAGGTCTGCACCTTTGGTTCCTCAAATGCAGGTGTAAATGGGATGATCCAGCATGGGGAACCAGTAGGAAAACTCCCACCAGCAGCCACGGTGATAGACTTGGACTTCCAGGACCATGCCTGGTCCCTGCTGCTAGTTGTACCCCAAACACGGTGGCCTGATAAAAGTCAATCCAGACATCTACATCTTGGTTCGTTCGGTGCACGCATGTCTACACAGCACCCATGATACCTGGCTTGCACACCCCATGCCACCAACAAGCATGTTCACGGTTAACGCTGGTCAAAAGATGGAAAAAAAAAAGCTTTGAAGGACAATTTGTCATTTTCTTTTCCAAACTAACTGCAATAAAAAAGGTGGAAGCCAAAAGAAGTTTGAAATTCTGCCATTTTTGGAGCGCAAACGTAAGAAGAGTGTGAGCCCCGGGTTTCTCTTTCTTGCCTTGCCCTCACCTCCAGGTGCAACAAAACCTGGGGAAAACAGGGAAACGGTGAATGGGTCTCGGGGGAAGCACTGAAAGTGAATGAAGTGCTGCAAAATTAACACGAAAAGCATTCTTGATTTTTCGCCGCTAGAAAGTGCCCAAAGAAAAGAAAAATCTGTAAAAAAGATGCCTTTTCATTAAAAAGCCGTGGCAATCTGATCAGAGCATTTCAAGCAACAGTGGGCACAGCCCTCTCTGCACCCAGCAGAGCCTTCGCCTGCGGCTCTCGTAAAGGATATTTATGGGAGGAAATTTTCCTCCCCTCACCTCCCTCAAAAAAGCAGCCACCGGCTTAATAAACCGCTGGCAAAACAAAGCAGGGGAATTTCCATTAAGCAGAGTAAAAGGGTAATTAGCGACTGGGCTGAAAGTGCCCGCCTCGTCCTGCGTTGCAGCAGCCAGCCCAAGCCCCAGCTCTGCTGGCACCCCGCGAGAAAGCAAATTTGGGTCAAAACCCTGGTTTCCCGGAGGGAATTGCTTTTCCTTCTTGTTACCTCCACCAAAGTCACAGGAGAAGGAGCAGGAGCAACTGCGGGTCTGGAGTGACCCCGGCAAAGGCACAGAAAAGTCAGGGGTGGGAAACAGCGCTGGCAGATGAAGGTCAGAGGAAAGGAAACATTTTGTAAAAGCAGTTGCATTTAACAAATGGTTTTGCCGTCAGAAAAAGGCAGCCGAGGGATGGCGTGGAGACGGTCCTTCTGACAATCTC